CTATATTTACTATTGTTTGAATAATTTTTCTGCCACTTTGATGATGCAAAAGATTTAGAAGAGGTTCCTGCATTTTTTGCTCCAACAATGTAACTAATTCCATTCTCATTCTTTGTAAAAGTTGAGCCACCTAAATGAAATCAAAGTTGTATTTAAATTATAATTATCATTTCTTGTTTCATTTAGATAAAAGTTAATATTCTTACCCTATGTGATTCAACACTAAATAAAATCCAACCATCTTCTGATACAATAAATATTCCATTATGTAGTTCTATTTTTAATTCATAATTCGAAAATAAAATTAATGGTAAAATTGGCACCATTGATACTTCTTTAATAAATACTTTACTCGTTTTAATTTTTTCCTGAAACACTAAATATGGACTAGGAAAATAACCAACATTAAAGTTAACAGAGGATGGATGGATACTGACAAAACCGTCATTTTTAGTTTGAAATTTAAGTTCTTCTGGTTTAGGCTGTATAGGAATTGCTCCAACAGACTGAACTTGGAAAGACTTTTCTGGTGTAAAAATTTTTACAACATTAGGGTAAAGAGCTGCACAAAGTAAACCTTGAAGAAGTTTGTAGTTGTCATTATTAATATTAAGTTCAAATCCAGTAATTTCCAAGATCTTATCAATATTTGGCTGCCGTTGAGGCAAATTGATAGAGACAAAGCCAATTGAAACTAATAATTCTAAGAACTGGTACTTTATATCTGCTAAAGTATACAATGTACGCACAGACAAATAATTTTCATTTGCAAAAGCTTGACCTGCAGTACTGCTGCGTGCACATGCTTCTATCCATTTCTGTGAAACAAAAGAAAAAAAACTGAAATATATATTTTTCGGTACAATTATGTTTTATAATATTTATATTTATGTATTTACCTTATATGCTTTAAGTACAGTTAATTGATCGGAATTAGCCGTAAAGAATTCTTTTTTTGCGTCAACTTTGTGTCTTTTTTCAAAAGGTACAATAAATGGATTTTTATGAGATAAACAAGCTGCGATAGTGAGTACAGAATCAAGGCAACAAAAGATTGCTCCAAATAAAATTAGTTTCCCGATTCGTACATTTACAGGTAGTGCCGCAAGATGATGACCCAGTGGTGTTAATGTACACTCAGAATTAAGCGCACCAACATCTTGCAAACGTTTAATTGCACTAGAAATGTTTTCATCTATTGGCGGTTCTAACATTTTGCC